GTGTTTTGTCTCTTGTTTGCTTTTTCATCCTTTCTGTGGTCCTTTATCTTTTCCTGGCTCACAGAAGCCACGTTTACGGGTGCCGCTTCCTTTATACAAGCGATCTGTGCAGAGCAATGGTCGTAGGAGCATTCATTTCCTGGGTAAATCACTGGGAAGTTATATATGGATGAAGGAAATATTGAAGTTAGAAAAAGAATACAAGATAGGGAAATTGTTTACAGTGCCTGCATGAAATGTGTCTGGTTCCGATTCTCTCAATAAGGAGTTAGATGTGAATCAATTTAAATACATTTATTTTCTATTACAGCAATAAGTATTTAAAGGAACTGAAGTATTTAAACTGTAAAAGCATAGGAAGGAAATAAAAGAAACCTCCCTAAGGCCGTATTTTATGATTACACAGATCCTAGTAATGCATTTAGGTAACATCGAGGAAGTTTCTAAAGGTGTTCAGCCAAATGAATGCAGCTGAGCAATAAGTAAAGCCACATAGTTAAGTTCTTTGGCATTCCCTGACTTGCTGATTTGAGACCCCTTTGAGGAGTGAAAAAGCCAACTTTCTGCTCCTCTAAGTGCCGTATGTCATATTAGAGTGCTAGCCTGTTGAATGAGCATGAGGGACACTGACATTTCTGCTGTTGCAGTTGACTTAATCTGGTGGCTAAAGGAAGAACCTAGTTTACTGAAGTGCAGTCTTCAACTTCCAGAAGGGTTTTGGGAGCAGGCATGAAGCGATCCCTACACAAACTTGTGTTCTAGAACGAAAGAATTCTTGATAATTCCGCATCAGATTTAGACTCTTGCTGTTTTAATGCTAGTGTTATAATGTTCTTATGTGGTGTGGAATGTTGTATAGTAAAAGAAATACCCACTTTATGGTTGTATTCTAGGGTCACAACTGAAGAGACATTTTAAATATTTCATAGTATTTTGATAAACCTTTTAAATTCACGTTTCATTTGAGATGTGTTTGTCTATGATTGTCAGGAGCTCCAGATGACTCAACAAGCAAGGAAACATCTCCAAGAGGAATTTGATGCTTCCTTAGCAGAAAAGGATCAACTTATTAGTGTCTTGCAAACTCAGGTGAGATACCTTAACCAACAGATGTCCTTTAAAACTGCTCTTCCTACCTTTTTTTTTTGCTTTAAATTACCTATTTCCTATAATGCATGTCCATGTTTTTTTATAACTGCTGTGATGTTGAGCTTCTTGAGAATTTATGTTTATCTAGAAAATAAATGCATCTTGGTGGTAGAGGATACCCTTGCACGATCTCACTCATGTTAAATGTGATTGTTTAATATGTGCTTAAATTGTATCGTCTTTGTTATCAAGAACATAACATTGGCAGATGTTTGAGTTCGGCAAAATTTATGTTTTTTGCTAAAATGGTCTTTTTTTCTCCACTCATATTGAAACTATTTTTGTGAATTGGAAACAATTCTTATTTTTGAAATGCTACAAAAATTCAGACAGATTTTTCCTTTCTCTACTCGCTGATACCAATTTATTTAACTCTCTGTAGTTCTGAAAATTGAAACATGATCTGCTTAGAATCCTTGGGTTCTTCTAACAAAAAGAACATTTTATTTAGGTATCATTGCTGAAACGGGCGTTAAGGAATGGCCAGATGTGCACTGAATTGCCTGACTCGACTATCCCATCTAAACCACAAGCTCAAAGTCCAACAAAAGAAATGGGCACAGAAACTACTGTGGAACCAGGAAGCAATGGTAGGTATTGCAGCTTTTTCAAGAGATCTTGAATTTTGGATAATAAGCCTGCTGTTATTTATGATGGAGTAAAAAAGGAGTATTGCAATGAAATCTCAGCAATGTGCTTTCACCTCTAAAACATTCCTGTCCTTTTTTTATTTTGTACCTGTGATAAAGACAGGTACCTATGGCTACCATGGCTAACTCTTGCCGTGACAGATGCACACAGAGTGCTAGATCAAAGATCCACCCCGCAGGGTAAGAAAGAATAGTTACATCTGCTTTTTCCTATTTGTGCTATTATTCAAATTTAGATGTTATTTCCTGATCAAGGAGAGTTTTTTCCATGAGTTCTCTAGGCAGCCGTAAAACACATGTTGTCTCTATCAGTCCCAGGTAAAACCCCTTTTCCAAAATATCTGAAGATTTGGTTTTCTGGCTATTGTACGAATTACAGTTACATTAGTATTTCACTCACTGATCGTCTCTTTTACTGCTGTTTCCAATTCTCTTTCTTTTTGAGCCAGCTGAGTATTGAGCTCTCTCATTAACTGCTTTAAGGTGGAGTTGTGCTTTAACTCAATGTCGTCTTGTTCACATCTGTACAAAAATGTCAGAATGCACAGTGAGACAATAAAGTATTTGAAGAGAGCGTGAGAACAGTTTAGCAAGGTAGGAGATCTGGGAATCTCTCAAACTATTATTAGAGTGGGATGGTTTTGAATGGTAGGAATTCTGTAGGATTTGAGGAGGCGCTCTTTTCCCCTCCTACTGAATTCACCTGGAAGGTGGAGGTGTTTCATTTAAAAAACAACCCAGAACTGAACCCTTCCAAAAGATACGGAGTTTTTCCAGAGGAAGATGAAGAACTAGAAGTAAAGAACATGCCATGTAAAAGCAGCACTTTTAGGGAATTCCTTGTTTGAGAAACATTGCGAAAATTTCTTGGTATCATATGAACATGAACCTCTCAATACTCAGTTTTAATAAACTTTATTTTGCATTTGAGGAAAAAAGAACTGTATTTTATATTCTGGCAATGCTGAAAACAACTATCACTAAACCAAACCAAAGTGGTATTACTTTGCCAGAAGATAAACCCCTTTTCCGACTGATGGTTCAAACAGTGGTTTATGTGTTCATGCAGTGCCACTTTCAAGTAGCATTTTTCTTGCTGTTTCTCTTTTTTTTAAAAATGACAGAAAAATACCAGTCATTATTTCATTGTTAGAAATTGAGCTTAAAATGTATTCTTGAGATTTTAGTGGTTAAAGCAAAGAAGCAGCAACAAGGCCAGGAGCTAACAGTTTACCTGATTTTCCTCTGCATTTGTTCTAAGGACTCCTTCTTCAGTATGTCAAGGTCTTGCTGATGTTCCCTTCGCATACATGAGTCTTCTTGAAGTTTATTCACTTCTTCTCAAGCTAGGGATCCTTGCTGCTCCTCTTGAAGGGCTTTTAAACACTCAATCCGATTTCTTTCCTGTATCAAAAACTATGATTAAAACAATAAATACAGTCATCACACCTCCAAAACCAGTAGAATAGAATATTTACAGACAAGTTAATAGGAGTCATACACTAGGCACACCTGTATTTTCACCACAAGCAAGGAGTTTGTATTTCGTCTGTGTAAACAAAACCGTTATAAATCACTTCCATTTTCTCTTCTTGGGAACCATTCGCCTTTCTATGAAAAACCTAATGCAACCCAGCCTTCCATTTTGGTTTGTTTAGCATGATTGAGAGTAACACCTTAGAGGACTAAAGGTCTGTTCTCACTTGCTTCCATTGCTAAATTATTTTCAAGCTTCTAGTCCTTATAATTACAAAATAACCTGAGAAATAGGTAGGCAAAAAAAATAGGAAGAGACTGTCAAGAGTCCCTCAGTCCTACTCACCAGCCATCATGGAGGAGCACTGTGCTAGTTTGAAAACAAACTAGTGGGAGACACCAAGTCAGAATAACAATAAGGAAAAAAAAATTCTAAAGGCAGATAACACTGGGTTAAACTAACAGAGTCAGGATACAACCCGACAGACTCCCTGTTAATCAGGGTGGTGATAGCAGTCTGGTAGAATGGTGGCTGCAGTCCCCCCGAAGCAGTGATTCTGTAGCAAAAAGATCTGCTCTTCCTCAGAAAAGTCCAGTGGTGGCTAAGTAGGTTGTCTCCTCTGAAAACCCAGTAGAAAAGTGTCACGTCCCGCTCCGACGAGGGGGACAAGTGACTCAGATTCGCAAATCCCCAATTGGAGCGGACAACAAGTCTGCCAAGTTCAAGCATTTATTAACTACCTACAATGCACTAATTGAACACATGATAACTGGCTAAGTACAGAGCAAGCTGTGGCGAGCAATACAATATGGTTTGCATTTCTTAATAGAAAAAGGAAAAGAGGGAGATAGAGGGAATGGGGGAATACAGATCACCGGTCTGGGTTCCTGCGCTGCTCCTGCCGGCGAGGATTCCAGGAGGCAGCCATCTTCTTTGCTGGCATCTGTCTTCCTTGCTTCAATGCTCTCTCCAGATGGCTGGGGGGGAGGCAGGGAGAGGGGCAGAGAGAGAGAGAGCCCTTTCTTCTCCCCTTTGATTTATACCCACTTTCCTTGGGTCCGTCCCCTAGGTCAACCCACAGACCTACGTATCCCATGTACAGGGAGGGGTAAGGTGTT